TTTGGGGAAGTTCCTCACAGAAGCTATCCATTGCTGTGGCCCATCAAGACTAAGATTAGCCAGAACAATTTAGCCTTGCAGAAAAGGTGGCTGATGGTCTACTGCTCGATCAGTACTGTTTATAACAGAAACTGACTAACTGATCGAGGTAGCGTTACACCAGAAACCTCCATGTTCTGATAAGTAAAATTATAGTTTGTTATCAATGGAGGCTGGTGGCTTTGAAGAGAATATAGATAACAGCACTTAACGTCCTGTTTAAAGTGTCTGGCTGCAAAGTAGGCTGTTTAAAATATTCAAAGTGTAGCGTACACTTAACTTGATAGTCATGCTTTTAGGTGGCTTGAATGCATTCTGCTGCTGAACTTTCCACAGCAGTACGTTGGTTTGCTTGTGTGCTATTATCTGTTTCACCAAACTGGGGGCATGCTGATCCCCATTTACTGAAGTAATAAACTGATTATGGATAAGTAACTCATTCCAACCCAGCTTCAAAGCATCCAATCTACCCCTTTAATAAGAATACCTTTATTAGTCCCACAGAGCAGAAATGTACATTGTTACAGCAGAAAAAGAGCCAAAAGCCGCTTTCACACCGCAGTACTTTTCCCACAAAGGTTAATCAGAACTTAGTTAATCAGAACTCTTTAGTTCTCATGAACTAAGTACAGATCGCGTTCACACCGGAATAAGTTCCTCAGGGAGATTAGGCAAATGAAGCCGCTGACGTCACTTCTTCTTTTTCTGCTTTGGGTTTACTGGCAGGCCGCAAACAACTTCACGGCGTATACTGCCACCCGGAGTCCCCGGCCGGAAGTCCCCGGAGTTGGGGACTGGCTTCAGTAGAAGCTGCTGGGACTCCCAGCTTCACAAAACTTTTTGGGAGTTTTACGGGGCGTGGTTTGCAATCCGCCCAGCCAATCAGAAATAGGAAACACAAAAGTCCATGCTCTCTAGCAGGGACTGAAAAGGGGGTAAAAAGGTTCTCATGAACTCATTTTAGTTCCGGATTTTTTTGGTGTGAA